GTTTGACCCTGTGAGGGAGGCAGTGACGACTGAGACTCTTTTTACAAAGAGAGAAACGTATTCCAGTAGATGAAATGATTTTGCCCAGGGTCTAGAGCTAATAATGGCAGAGACCCAGATTCAGGGCTTCTGACCTCAACGTTCTTTCCACTAGATCCTCCCAAGGGGAATGGGGAAACATCTTCAAGAAGGCTCTAAGAACCAAGTCAGGTCTCTGAGTAAAGTCAGTAAACTGATGTTTTGAAGGCAGCTAGGGAAGTAAGGTGTTGTGTTCTGAAGGCTGAAATGGCCCTAGGTGTGGCATAGACATGCCTCGTTTATGTTCCAGCCTCCCTGGGCCACAAGCTGTTCCATGTTCCACATGAGTGAGTTTTCCAGATAGCTGATGGTTCATTACATTTCGCACACACACACACCCACCCCCGCCTTCTTGATCATAAGTTGCTGAGCATGATGGGCCTTGGTACTTCTCTGTGGTTCAGGGCCTCCTTTTAGACTTCCAGGTTACACTGAATCCTTCCACCTGCTACCCCAGCTTTGGTTTGTCTTTTTTCTCTGTGTCTTGTGCTGTGAACTTTTGTTTTCAGAGTATTTATTCTCAATTTTTTTTTCTGTCTCTAATATGTATGCTAGGAAACCACTGAGCTAAACTTGTTAGAGTTAGAATAATAATAATGATAATAACTGGCATTTCTACATTGCTTTGAGGTTTGCCAACCACTTTATATACACTATCTCATTTTATCCTTACTGTTATATGAGGTAAATGCTACAGATCTTGTTTCACAGACAAGGATACTGAGGTTCAGTGAGATTTTTCAACTTCTCCAGGGTCACAGAGTGAGGAAGGGTTGAGTCAGAATTCAAACTCAGATCTTCCGGATTCCAGGTAACTCCATTCCACACTGCTCCTATGTAAAGTAAGACTCAGTAGTTCAGGTAAAGGTTTAAGGAGATCCTATGGGCAAAATGCATGGACTTCTTTGAGATTGTGTTATTTTAGGATTTTTGACAGTGTTCTGGATGGGGCGGGGGGGGTTAATGTACATTATCTTTGACCATGGTGCTTCTGCAGAGATGTGACAATGCAGGTCATTGCTATTAGATGCCCTAAGTCTCCACACAAAAGGACAAGAAAGGACCGACTGTGGGCCGTGAGAGTTTGGAGTCAGGATTAGAAGAAACGCCTATGGACTGAATATAAAAGGGTAGCTGATGAAGAGAAAACTTGGCAGCCAGCATACTCCTGATCAAAAGCAAGGATCTGGATTCACCACTGACCCACAATTCCCAGTTTGTGTCACCAAAGCTTTGCAGCACAGGCTCCAGGAAAGGCTTTTCCACGGGCATGTGTCTGGTTTCTGGTGGAAGAACTGGAGGGAAAAGGACTAGCTTGGCACGGAGTGGAACCTGTGCACAGCATGAAGGCCACTTGGTCATCAAGAGTACACTTGGTGTGCTTTTTTGTACAGCGCAGATGCTTTGTTACAAGACATAAGGACAGACTGTCAACAGGGCTGGAGGGATGGATTTCTAGGGGTCAGAATACCCTCTCCTTGCCCACGTCTAGAACCACCAGGCAGACCACACCAATGCCAGGTGCAGCCCCAGAAACTAGGCTGTTCATTACAATGGAATGAATGACGGCCTGTTACTCTAACGGCTGACTTGGGGTATAGTGCAAAAGCCTCTGGCCTGAGACTCGAGGGGCCTGGGCTTTAGTCCCGTGTCAGTCACTGACTCACCATGACACTCGGGTCTGGTCCATTAAGCACTCTGGACTTCAGGACCCTCAGTTAAAATGAGACAGGGTTAGATGGCTTTAAGGTCCCATTTAACTCTGAGTCTCTTCATCCTCTTTATTTAATTCTTTAAAGTCCCTAAGATCTATCTGGTTTTTGTTTGTTTGTTTGTTTAAATAGTGCCTGGAAAATCTAAAAGGCAGGAAGATTCCTATTGCCCGGATCAGATTCCCTCTTCAACACTGGGCTTTTATGAACTCAGTTTGAATACCATTTTTGAGGATTTCAATAATCAGTGGGAAAAGGTACAATGACAGGTGCTATATTTCGTATTTGATTGGCCTTGGCACTCCACGGTTGATAGATTAGTAATTCACTAGGTGACCTTGAACAAGTGACCTTCTCTGGGCCTCATCTTCCTCTGTAAAAGGGAGTGGTGAGATTAGATGGTCAGTGGGGTTCCTTCCAGCTCATTCCATAATTCTTATTCCTCCTTACCGTTGTGGGGAAAGCACTGCATTTAATGTCAAGAGGATCTGGTTTCGAATCCCAGTTCTGTCATTTCTGAGAACTATTGAATTTTAAACTGGGAAAGGACCTCGGTGGTGGCCCAGCTCAAGCTATACTTCCCAGTTGTGTGACCTTGGCCACGTTGTTTCCCCTGTCAGGCCCTCAGTATCTCCATATATTAAAAGGGTGTAATGGTGGGAGTAGTCTAGATCAACCTGTATTTCCCAGCTGCCTTCAGTTTCTCCATCTGCAAAAGGGGGACAGTGGCTAGCCTAGATAATGCAGCTCTAAATCCCATGATCCTTTATTTGGTGCTCTCGCTCCTGTAAGAAGATTATGTCAGGGTCTGCAAAGAAGGGCTATGGAGCTGGTTGGAAGGGATCAGACATTGAAAGAGGGTTCATGGAAAATCAAGAGCTGGCTTTCACCGTTGCCCCACTTTATTAAGCCGAAGGCCTGGCTCAGAACACTCCCCAGAGCACAGAGAGTTAAGAAGGGCCGGGCCAGATGGTGTTTTCCTGCCATTTGACAATTAAATTGAATTTCTTTTAAGAATGAACCTTTTGTGCAGTCATAGCCAGTGGTGATGAACCCCTGGCCATCTTCCAAAACTCGGAGCAAGCTGGACTGGGGCTGAGGCTGTCTAGGATGCAGTGTCTGTATACTGGGGGGGAGGGAGGAAGGTAGTGACCCCGATAATGGGGAAGCCTCCCATCTTTGTTGTGACTGGTGTGGACAAAAGGCCACTCCCCGCTTTCCATATCCCAGTAGCCATCTCCTGCGTTAATGGCTTAATGAAGCATTTTTTCATGTCCGCTATCTGACTTGAACAGTAAGTAACATGCACTGAGACAAGGAAACAAGCTCTCCCTCAACCAGGGTCACGCAGCAAGAGCCGAAACTGGAACCAGAGCCTCGACTCTCAGCCCAGGGCCCTTGTTTATCATGTCCTCAGAATAAACTCTGTGTCTAGACACAGACCAGGTGTTTGCCAGAAATCAGGTGACAGAGATGCATGTAAATACTTCAATCCGAAGGGCCGGAGTGCGAGAGATGCGGTGCAGAATTAAAGGGCCAAGAGGAAACCCCGAGGAATGGAGTGACCATAACAGTCCATCCTCCATGATGGCTGCAGCTATAGACATTTCCCCAAGAAGGCCCAGTGACCTGGACATCTTTTTGATTCAAGCCAAACATTCTTGTATCGCACACTACCACTCATTAAGGTTGGTCCAGTCTTTCCTGAGTTTCTAGGATTTTATTAAGCCAGTGCCACCTGGATACAATGCTTCACCCCCCAACCCAAAAGCAGACCTTCTGCCTCATCGGTCCCAATTCACAAAGCCAGAAATAAAATGTCGAGACAGCCACACTGGAAGTGAAGGGGGCAAATCCCAGGATATTCTCTGTTGTAGATGTTCAAATGTTGATGCTGGTGGTGATGATGTCTACCTGGAGGGCCTCCATAGAGGGCCTGAGAACTCAGCAGAGATTTAAGTAAGCATCTGCTAAGTGCTGAATTGACCTGGTCCCCACCCTCAGGCAGTGTATTCTCTCCTAAGAGAATGACAAAGATGTTAAGTAAATATTATAATCGGTAAGGGGTAGAGGAGCAATAAACAAATCCAGATGCTCCAAGAAAATCAAATGGAGAAGAGAAACCACGGGGTGGGATGGAGGAGGAGGGGACCAAGGGGAGCAGCTTCTGAACGAAGAGAAGGATGCTGCAAGGCAGAGGAGAGGAAGCTCATTCCAGGTGTGGGGGAGCAGCCTGCCTGAGTGTACAGAGGCAGGAGAGGGTCAGGATAGGGTTGAGGAATAGCCGCTTGTCCATTTTGGCTAGAAAGCATCATATTCAAAGGTTGACAGCATCTGGAAACAGGCTGCAAGGTCTCCGATAGGCTGGCCTCATGGATTGGGCAAAGTGAGCTGAAGATCTCTAAATCTGGGCTGGGATTCCTCCTTGTTGCAGGAGGGATTCTTGGACAGGTATGGTTTGGACTGCATGACCTCTGAGGACCCCTCCAGTTCTGATCCTTTCTTCTCCAAAGTCCCATTTCCAGCAAGCATTTATGAAGTGCTAGGCACCACGTTAAGCATTGGAGATAGTGTAAGCAGAACCAGTCCTTGCCCTCAAGGAGCCTACTGTATGATGGAGAGATAACATGCAAACAACGATGTGCAGACTAGGTATATACAAGACAAATCGGAGATAGGATCAGAGGAAAGGTACCGGCATTAAGAGGATGGGGCAGAAGAGGCTACTTTTAGGTGGGATTTTAGTTGAGAATTCCAGGCATAGGCGACAGCCAGGGAAGATGGAAAGAGTTAGGAAATTGAGTGTCACGTACAAGGAACAGCAAAGAGGCCAATGACACTGGATCATAGAGTATTGTATATGGAGGAATATAAGGTGTAAGAAGGCTAGAAAGGCAGGAAGGGATCAGATTATGAAATGCTTTGTAAACCAAACAGATGCTTTTATATTTGATCCTACAGGTAACGGAGACACTATGTGTGTGTGTGTGTGTGTGTGTGTGTGTGTGTGTGTGTGTGTGTGTGTGAAGTCATTTCAGTCGTGTCTGATTCTTTGTGACCCCAATTTGGGGTTTTCTTGGCAAAGACACTGGAGTAATTTGTCATTTCCTTTTCCAGCTCATTTTACAGATGAGGAAACTGAGGCAAACAGGGTTAAGTGACTTGCCCAGGGTCACACAACTAGAGTTTACTGAATGGAGGTGGAGAGGGAAGAGATGGTGAGACCTGCACTTTAAGAAGGTCACTTTGATAGCTGAGTGGAAGATCGACTGAAGTAAGGAGAGACTTGTAGGCGGGGAGACCCACTAAAAGGCTCCTGCAACAGTCCAGATGTGATATAGCAGGGAGGGATGAGAGAGAGAGAGTGAAGAGTCAAGGATGATGCCCTAAGTTGCAAGCCTGGGTAACAAGGATGGTGGTGCCCTGGACTGTAATAGGAGCGTTAGGAAGAGGGGAGAGTTCAGAGAAAAGAGAATGAGTTCCGTTTGGAACATGTTGACTTTAACATATCTATAGGTCATCCAGTTCTGGGCGCCTAACAGGAAGTTGGAGATACAAGACTGGAAATCAAGACAGAGGTAGAGGCTGGTTGAACAGATCTCAGAGCCATCTACAAGCATAGAGGTGATCATTGAATCCACGGGAGCTGAAGAGCTCGCTGACATCCTGGTCTAAGAGCGGGGATTCTGTTTCTGGGGAACTGACATTTCTAGGATCATAGGTGTAGGGCTGGAAGGGTCCTCTCCGGGGTCCCTCATTTGACTGATGAGGAAACTCAGGCCCAGGAAACTTGCCCATTGTAACACAAGTGCTAACAAGCAGAGAAAGGGTTCAAAGCCAAATCTTCTACAGCGCACTGTTTCATCAGGTCTGACCTCTTCACTTTACTGATGAGGAAACCAAGTCCTAGGGAGGTGGAGTGACTCACCCCAGTGCATGCAGGATTTCAACCTAGATCTTCTGGGTCTAAATCCAGCCCTTTTCCCACTAAACCACGATGCCTTTGCTTCACCACAACAAACTCAGCAAAGTATGGCGTCCAATGATCAATTCATATTTTCTGTTTGTAACACTAGAATAAAAGACAGCAAGAGATGCCCTTGGACAAAATACAGCGCCCTGACAGGTAATCTGTGTGTTAAATTTCAGATGTGGAGATTCATAATAGCAGCCTGTTACATGTGTATGAACTTCCCAGTTGACCAAGTGCCTTTACATCCATTACCTCCTTCATCCCTACAACAGCCCTGTGAGAGAAGTCAGGCCAGTGGCAGAGGCATCCAGGTTCAAGTGACTTGCTTAAGGCCACAGGAGCCAGAATGGGAATCCAGGTCTCCAGAGACCGAATCAAGTGCTGCCTCCTCCACCTCGGGATGCCGCCATTGTGGCCATGGTGTCACCAGCATTGAAATCCTGGTGGAATCCCTCTCCAACGAGAAGAGCTGGCACCCAGAACACCTTTGAGTGAGACCTTTTGTTTGGGATTCTGGTGGGGCTCTACAGGAGGGACCTCGTCCTGAGCTTAGGAAAGGAGGGGCGGTCCACATGGATTGCCTGGGCAGCCTGGGCTTTTCAGAGCGGTGAAGACGCTAGGCTTTGTGGCAGAGAAGTAAGGCTCTGGGGCGCCTGCCTCGGTTACTTGCAGCCCATGCGGAGGATGCCTGTTACTTGTTTTCCCAGGTACACCTTCCAAGGCTTCACCAGGCTGTTCATGTTGACTAAGAGTTTGCTGCTGCCGGGGTCCTCCTGCCCTGCGATCAAGTAGTCTGTACCTGGTAGAAACACAACCACCACCACCACCAGGGATGGCGGCCAGGAAGGAGGGCTTACCAAGCGCACTCTGGGGGCTCCCGAGCACCTCCAGGAGCAAATGCAAAATGCTCTGTTTGGCATTCAAAGCCCTTCATAACCTAGCCCCCTCCTACCTTTGCAGTCTTCTTACACCTCTTCCACCCGGTGACACTGGCCTCCATGAACAAGACATTCCATCTCTTGGCTCTGGGCATTTTCTCTGGATGTCCACCATGCCTGGAACTCTCTCCCTCCCCTACCTGACTACAGACCTCCCTGGCTTCCTTTAAGTCCCCGCTAAAATCCCATCGATCATCAGAAGCCTTTCTCAACCCTCTGAATCCTATTGCCTTTCCTCTGTTGGTGACTTCCTGCGAACCTTTTATATAAATTGTTTGCATGTGGTCAGACTGTGAGCTCCTTGACACAAGGGACTATCTTTTGCCTTTCTTTGTATCTCCCGCACTTATACCTGGTATACAGTAGGCACTTATAATGTTTATTGCCTGACTGACTAAACACTTCAAAATTCATCCCCTGAACAACTCATAGGCATATGACTTTAAGGAAGAAACTACACTCCTTGAGGGCAGGGAAAGTTTCTGCTTTTTCTTTTCTTTTTCTTATGTTTTTGTTAATACTCAGCACTTAGCAGAAGGCTTGGCACATAGCAAATGCTTAATACGTGATTGTTGATTGATTCATTGATTTCACTGGTTGGATTTCTTCCAACCATGCCGGCATTTTTGTACCCGGTCATAGAATCACAGAATTTAGATTTGGAAGAGACCTCGGTCAGCTCTACCAACTTGAACTCCAAGAAGAATCCCCAACCTGACAGGCTGTTACAGAACTCCTGATAGGTTCAATTCCCACTGCTATCTCTTACTACCTGTGGGGGCCAGGGCAAGTCACAACCCTCCTGGACCTCAGCTTTCTTCTCTGTAAAATGAAGGGGGTTAGACTCCGTGGCCCCCAAGATCTCTTCCAGATCTAAATCTATACCTGGCATGGTGAAGAATGTGATTAATAAGATAGACACACAGAGTTCTATCTACCTCAGTAATAAGTAACCCTTCAAGGCTGACAGAGCACTTTGCACACTGCCTCCTCTCACCCCATATTGTCTCTGTCTCACCCCACCTCAAAGGTCCCATGTAGCTCATCCCCCATCCCAAGGCCCATAGCAACCACCCTCGTCTGCTGCTTACCTGGATTCAGAATGGGGCAGGTGCACCCCCTGTGGGTCCAGGACTCTGGGTAAATGCTCTGGTGACTCTGGGAGATCTTTACTTGACCCGACTTTAGGACCTTCTTCACCTTCACCCACACTTCAGCATGGGTGCCCTTGTCATATGCCGAAAGAATCTTGGCCTTTATCACTGCCCAGAGACAGACAGACACACACACACCTGCTCAAAATTGGAGTCTTTCCCAAACTCAGTCAAAAGGTGGAAAGTAGAGCCAAGTGAGACGTATTTTCTGAAACTTGGACTCATGGAATTATGTAGTGTTGGTATTAGAGGGGAACTTTGAAGTCAAACATGTCCCTCTGTCCTCTGTGCCCAGTGTGAATGCCCAGAATGCACTCCTTCCTCATCTCTGTCTCAGAATTCCTCACTCCCTTCAAGATATAGCTCATGTCCCCTTTTCTGATCCCCACCCCCTCAACTCCTAGTGCCCTCCCTCCAGAACCACCTTGGATAATTTGTGTTTATCCTGTGTGTACTTTTACACTTCTATGTTGTCTCCTCTAACAAAATGCAAGCTTTAGGAGGGCAGGAACTGTTTCATTTCTTTGTCTCCATATCCCTGGTACCTAGCACAGTTACAGCGTTTTTAATAAATGTTTATTGATTGATTGATTGTCTAGTCTGATCTTCCCATTTTATAGATAAGGAAACTGAAGCCCAAAGAGGCGAAAATGGATTGTGCTCAATAGTAGTAGATTTGGGATTGATTTTTCCACTAATTTGATTTCTCATTTGATATTCCATACACTGCTTCATTCAGTCAAGTGAAGATTGGGGATTAGAGGGAGAACGTAAAGCTATGTCATTGTCCAAAGAAGTGGCTGTGATGTGAGACAGTTACCAGAGGAAAAGGGCCACAGGTGGGGTTCTCTTATTTTTTCTTCTTCTTTTTTTTTTTTTGGCTAGGCAGTGGGGTTAAGTGACTTGCCCAGGGTCACACAGCTAGTAAGTGTTATGTATCTGAGGCCACATTTGAACTCAGGTCTTCCTGAATCCAGGGCCGGTGTTCTATCTGCTGCGCCACCTAGCTGCCCCCTCACTTATTTTTTTTAATTTTAAAAATACAGAGGCATCTAGGTGGTACGATGGATGGAGCACCAGCCCTCAAGTCTGAAGGACCTGAGTTCAAATCCATCCTTAGACACTTACTAGCTATGTGACCCTGGGCAAGTCACTTAACCCCAATTGCCTTTAAAAAAAAATCCAAAGTATTTGCACTTTAACCAAGACAATGTGGTTTAGTAGAAAAGATCCCTGGATTTGGAGTCAAATGACCTTGGTTCAAATCCTAGTCACTTAAAACCTATATGAATTTGGGCAGATCATTTAGTGTTTCTGGGCCTCAGTTTACTCATCAGTAAAATGAGGTAGCTGGATTAAACGATCTCTAAGGCCCCTTCCAGCTTTAAATCCCATGACCTATTTGCTGAGACTTTAACAGCTATGTCATCAGGAGAGATTAGTGAAGAGAGAAGCAGTTGCCCATGGCACTGTCATGATAGAGAAAGTCAGAGGGTCACTAAAAGGGAGTGGGATATATATACATGCATACATACACATATATATGTATATAGTTAGTCCTCCTCAACATATACAGGTTTAACTTTCACAACATCAAGCATTCACATGATTTTATTAGGAATCTCATTTTCACTTTTGAGTTGGCAACCATGCACATTCGAGGCTATTCCAAGTAGAGAAAAAATGAGAAGCGTGGTGCCCGCAAGTTTGTAGAGAGGCTGATATCCTACTAGGCATTTGGCTGGTTTTGTCCACCCTACCATTGTAAAGAGCTCTCTGGGCATTCACAATGTTGGAGGCACTTGGCATCATCTAACAGCAGCAACTGAAGTCCCAGCAACCTCTCTGTTGGTTTTCAGAGGGTGGTCATGGCGGAGAGGTTTACAGCAGTATCGTATTGTCTGAAATCTGGGGGTTTTATTGCGATTAAGCACAAAAGGTCACAGTTCCCAGGAATTACGTGTGAAAAAAAATGTTTTATATGTTACCAGTTTTATTCTGTGTACGGCATTTTGCGGGTTACTTCATGGTTACTATGTTAGGAAAAGTACATATTATCAGAATTAATGTTTTGTTATAAAAAATTATATGCAGAACAGTATATTTTCACCAGTCTCTAGCAAAAGATTACCAGTTTGGGTGGTTGCAGGAACCTATCCCCCTATTTCCCATAGGTTCAGTGTATCAACATTTGTGTTTGACTTTTGCAGGAACGTTATCCCCGTGCCAGCTGAGGACTTGACGGTAATTATTATCTCCCCTATAAATTCATTAGGAGTAGGGATTGTTCTGTTCGTTGTACTAGGATCCCAAGCGCCTAGCACAATTCTGGGCATGTAGTAGGTACTTAACAAATGCTTGATTGACTGATTGCACCGTCTAGGACTCCTGACTCCTCTTCTCCATCTGTTGAAATTCTTCCCTTCTTCCAAGGCCAAGTTCAAACATCAGCTCTCACATGCAATCTTGTTAGATTCCCTTCCCCTTCCCCCAACTCCAGTTGTAAGTCATAGATTAGACAGAGCAGTAATGGGCCTCAGGCCATCAAGTAGCAACCCTCCATTTTATAATATGGAAACTGAGGCCCAGAGAAGTTAAATAAATTCCCCAAGATCACACAGGTAATAAATAAGTGGTAGAGTGAAGCTTCCCACTTTCCTTGAGTGATTTTGATTGGATCTCTCCTTTCTTTCTATCTCATTATCCCTTATGATCTATTCTCAGTTGCATATATTTCATAGCCCCACTTAGTAGGCTATAAGCTTCCTGAGGGCAGGGACTATTTATGCCATTCGGTTGGTCAATAAGCATTTATCAAGCACCTACTGTATGCCATGCATTGTGCTAAGTCCTAGGGATATAAAGAAAGGCAAAAATTATCTCTGTCCTCAGAGAGCTCACATTCTAATGGAGGAGACAACATGTTAACTATGAACAGACTATATATGTTTGTATACATATGCACACATATATACACGCATACATATATATGTACATATACCTATACATACACACACACACACACACACATATAAAATAGGAGGTAAGGTCAGAGTGAAAATACTAGCATTAAGGGGGATACGGAAAGACTTCTATCTTGCAGAAGATGGGATTTTAGCTGAGACTTAAAAGAAGCCAAGAAACAGAAAAAGGAGGGCTTTGTATCCCCAACATTTAACAGTATCAGACATATAGTGATAACTTAATAAATGCCTGTTGACTGACTGACTATAAGCTCCTTGAGGGCAGACGCTCTGTTGTTCTTCATCTTTGTACCCACGATACCTTATATCTATTGTTATTCAATCATGTCTGACTCCCATGTCTGGGATTTTCTTGGCAGAGATTTGCCATTTCCTTCTCTAGCTCATTTTACAGGTGAGGAAACTGAGGCAAACAGGGGTAAGTGACTTGCCCAGGGTCTCACAGCTAGTAAGTGCCTGAGGCTGGATTTGAACTCACAGAGATGAGTCTTCCTGACTCCAGGCCCAGTGCTCTGTGCACACTGTGCACCTAGCTGCCTTGTATCTATAGCAGACACTTAAAAATATTGAACTGAATTAAATAGGACCCTTGACTTGTTCCTCATACTTAAGACCCTAGCCCAACTCCAGTAATTGAATTCAGCTTTGCTCTCATGCCCCACCCCCAGTGCCTGAGGACTCCTCCTTCCAGGCCCACCAGTTGCTGCAGGCCAGGGTTCTGCCTCGGCATTGGAGGTACTATAGTCCTGCCCTTGAACCCTAATCCCAACAGTGGGGTCCCTCTGCTACCACCAGCAGTCTCCCAAGGCTCCAACTGCTCCCCTGCCCGGCCCCTTTCCTGTTGGCCATGGCTGGGATCCTCTTTGGTTGCCTAACCCATTCCTGCACTTCTGTCTGATCCCAAAGTTCTGGCCACACTAGATTTACCTGTAGCTGAATCCCATTTCTGAGAGCATCCAGCCCCACCCCTTCTCCAGGAGCCACTTACCATATGCATACTTCATCTGGCAGAAATCCCTGACCTTCCCAACAGCCTTCTCTTTGCAGACACACTTTTCTAGCCAGGAGAGGCCGGAGCAAGAAGAAAAGAAATGAAATCAAGAGTCAACTTCACCCCAGAAATAGCTAAATTCCTCCCAAGCTCACCACCAACCTCCGTTTCCCATAGGGAGATTTAACAGGCAGAGCGGATTTCTTGAAAAGCCAGATTTTTTGCTTTCATTGGGACCACAGATTTTGAGCTGAAAGGAACCTCAGAGGTCATCTGTTTCAAGCGGCTCACTTTACAGTTGAGGAAACTGAAGCCCCAAAAAACCAAGTGGCTTGCCTAAAATCAGACAGGTTGTTAAAAATTCTTCTGCTTCCAAGGCAACAGAGGGAACAAAAGGACCAGAGAAATTGGACAATAAGCTCTTTAATAATATTTTAAACAGGGGCAGCTAGGTGGCGCAGTGGATAGAGCACCGGCCCTGGAGTCAGGAGAACCTGAGTTCAGATCTGGCCTCAGATACATAACACTCACAGCTGTGTGACCCTGGGCTTATTTCCTCAATTGTAAAATGGGGATCATAATAGCACTTCCCAAGGCTGGTGTGAGAATCAAAAGAGATCAGAGCAGAGCTCATACCAGCTTGGGGAGCTGATTGTTAGATTTTCAGTGTGGGCACTTTAAACCTCAGAAATGGTCAAACATTACAAATCAGGGCTTGGTTTATTGTTTTGTGGATGTCAAGACTTAAGAAAGTAATGGGGGTAAATGTGAATAATGCAGATTAAACTTAAAAGTGTGTCCTGTGCATACATCTTTCCCCTGGAGAGCTGGTCGTTAAACATTTGTGAGCACATTCTTGCACTATGTGGAGATATTCCGAAGAGCACTACATACATTGTCAGATCCAGATGATATTAGCTGATTTAGCTGAACAACTTTTTGTCTTGTTTTTTTTTTTAATTCTTTGTTATAAGGAATGGCTGATTGGGTAGGGGAAAAGGGAGGAATACATTTGGAAATGAAGGTGACTGTAAAACCCAAAGATATCTATCTATCTATCTATCTATCTATCTATCTATCTATCTATCTATCTATCTATCTATCTATAGGCAATTGGGGTTAAGTGACTTTCCCAGGGTCACACAGGTAGTAAGTGTCAAGTGTTTGTTCTGAGGCCACTTTTGAACTCAGGTCCTCCTCACTCCAGGGCCAGTGCTCTATCCACTGTACCACCTAGCTGCTCCGATAACAATATTTTTAAAAGCCCCTCTCTAGATCTCTCTTCTCAAGGTTCCCCCCTCATGCATCCCCACCATTGACTTCCTAGTTCATGTCATATTTATCTGCGTCCATGCCATAACACTTGCCCCTCTCCTCTAATAGAACATAAGCTCCTTGAGGGCAGGGCTTATGTCACTGTGATCTTTCTCTCCTCTATGCTTAATAATCCCCAGTGCCTGGCCTATAGTGGGCATTTAAGAAATATTTGAGAAACTGAATTGAATTGTGAATGGAAGTTCAACCTCCTACCTGGATGCCTCAGGGCAGAAAACCCTTGCTCTTGACCATCCCACCTCAGCCGCTCTTCACTGTCATTCCCTGGTCCCTGGACGAGGTCAGGGATCTGCCCACCTACGGGGATGTGGAAGAAAGGCTCCTTCTCATGTCTGTGAAAGGAAAAGGGAAAGCCGTCACTAGATCCTGGAATGCTCCAGCCCCCTGCAGTGGGTGGGATCATGAAGAGGTCCCCACATTTAGAAGAGACCTCTGGAGAGCAGCCAGTCCTGGGGTCAACTACTCAACTCATTTGCTCCCCTACTTGACAAATCTTTGGTTTTTTGTACAAAGGCGATCTGGGTGAGATATAAGATGCCCTCTGGTTTGGAGATCTCTGATTTAGTCAACCCTGCTGCCTTGGGGCAGGGCTACGCCTAACTTATCCCAGATGGGTAGACTTGGGGTCACAGGACCATAGACTGAGAACCCCAAGGACCTCAGAGGTTAGTAAGTCTCATATCCTCATTTTACAGATGAAGAAACTGAGGCCAAAAGAAGTTATGTGACCTATCCCAGGCCATCCAGCCAGGGACTGTCACAGGCAGGATCCAAACCTGGCTCTTCCTGGCTCCAAGTTCAGCACCAAAACTTCCTCACCATTGTTTTAAGGACACCCAGGTAAAGATCTTTCACAAACTACCTTAGTAACTCACCCAAGGGCCAAGTCCATTTAGTGCAAGGAAGCATCCCAATACCTCCTCTCACCTATTTCTGGCTCAGTCTCCTTGCCTTATTGGGAGGAACGGTCAATTAACTTGCCCAGGGTCACACGGTTAGTAAGTGTCTGAGGCAGGATTTGAACTCAGGTCTTCCTGACATCAGGCCTCCCTAAAAGCAGCAGTCATGCTCACCCTGCCGGCTGGCTGTTATGAGGACAGGGCTTTGTAAACTTTAAATTGTGACAGGTCATTGATCATTGTCATTATCATTAATGAACTCTTGTCGAATTGAATTGAATTCCTATTTGTTTATCAAAATTGGTCTTGGCCTTCAAAGCCCAGGGGAAATCCCACCTCTGCCGAGAAGCCTCCTTGACTACTTCAGCTCACAAGGCTCTCTCCCCTCCTTATGACCTATCGTCAGATAGCTATGACTTCACAGGTATACTGGGGTTTGTATTTTTTGCCTTCTCAAAGAGTGGAGGAGGAGCTGGAAAGAGGGAGGGAATTTGAAACTAAAAATAAATATTAAAAAATTAAATTAAAATTTTAAATAATTTTAAAAAACTCTAGCTCTGTGACATGGTGGCTTGAGTTCTAGGAGTCAGGAAGACCTAAGTTCAAATCCTGCCTTGGATATTTACCAGCCATATGGATACTTGGCAAGTCATTTAATCTGCCTCAGCCTCAGTTTTCATCATCAGTAAAATGGGGATAATAATGGCACCTACTTCTCAGTAGGGGACCCACAGGAGGCTCAAATAAGGCAGTATTTGTAAAGTGCTTTACAAACTTAAAGCACTATGTAAATGACAGCAAGTATTATTATCATTATTATCTATCCTTGGGCACTGAGCACCTTGTTCCTTGTATTACATCAGCTTCTTAGGCGATAAGTCTTATGCTATATTGTGTACCCCTTAGCACTGGGCTTGGAGTCTGGGTTTTCAAATCCAGTCTCAGACACTTACTAGCTATGTGTCCCTGGACAAATCATTTAACCTTTGTTTGCCTCAACTGTAAAATGGGGAGAATAATTCAGCACCTGCCTGCCAGGGTTGTTGGTTGTGAGGATCAAATGAGATAATATTTGTAAAGGGCTTAGCACCATGATTAGCAAGTAGTAGGTTCAGTCAATTCAATAAATATTTACTAATTCCTACTATGTGCCAGGTGAGTCAGAAATATTCGTTTTCTACCTTCCTTTTGTATGATTATGACCTTGGCCCAATGGTGGCCCAGAGTTTGAATCCCAGCTCTGCCTATTATAGAGGAGCCATTTTTAATTCACTTTGCAAGCTTGCTTTCTGAATTACCCTGACATATTTCCCCTTGGGAGGTTCACTTACCCAGTCAGGCAGGCCCCAGTGTGGGGATCACATTCCCCAGAGCAGTTACAAGGACGGCAGCCATTTCCTCCAAAGCCCCAGTACCCCACCAGGCATCGGTCACAGCGTGGGCCCGCCACTCCAGGCTTGCAGAGACAATATCCTGTCTTGGGGTGGCAAGGGAAACCCTTGTGGGAAGTCTCATTGGCTGAGCCCAGGGGCTGGCATGAACAAGCTATGGAAAACAGGAGACATCACTGAGGATTGGTGTCTGAGAAATGCAGAAAGCATAGTGTAGTGGACAAATCCTTGACTTGAGTGTAAGAAGACCTGGGTTATAATCCTGGCTCAGCTGGTTAGCTGGTAACCTCTGTCAAACCTCCTAAGCTGAGTCAGTTCCCTCATTTGTAAAATGGGTGCCATCTATATCACAGGTGTTCTTAAGGATCAAATGAGGCCATCATAATTCACATTTCTATAGCACCATAACATTTAGAAAGTGATTTCCTCACAATGGTCCTGGGAGGCAGATTGCCCCATTTTACAATGGAAAAAAACTAGACCTCAATTAATCAGTGAACAAGCATTTATTAAGTGCTTTGGGCTAGGCACTGTGTTTAGTGCTGAGGATATAAAGAAAACACAAAAACAGTCCCTGTCCTCAAGGAGCTTACATTCTATTGGGGAGACAACTTATAAATCTCTATGTACAGGATAAATACAGTGTAGATGGATGGCCCCAGGGAGATCAAGAAAGGCCTCCTGGAGGTGGCAATTCACTGAGTTTTAAAGGAAGTAGGGATTCAAAGAGTTGGAAGTTGATAGAGAGGGCATTCCAGGCATGGAGAAAGCCGCTGCAAAGTCTTGGAGACGGGAGATGGAGCACCATTTTTGAGTGTCTAGTATGGCTGGATCATAGAGTTTGTGAAAGGAAATAGAATGTAAGAGAAGTGGAAAGGTAGGAAGGGCCCAGGTAATGAAGAACTTTAAATGCCAAAGGACATTTTATTTGATCTTGAAGGTAGCAGCATTTCCAATGAGATTATTGAGCAGGAGGTTGACGTGGTCAGAACTGTGCTTTAGGAAAATCACACTTTTCCCCGACAGTTATGTGGAGGATGGATTGGAGAAAGGGAGAGAAAAGACAAGGAGATCAATTAGAAGGCCATTGCAATAATCCAAGCAAGAGGTGATGAAGCATCAGACTAAGGTGGTCATGGGGTGAGCAGAGAGAAAAGGACATGCAGGAGATTTAGAGAAAGAAATGACAAGATCTGGTAAGTGACTGGCTATGTGGGATGAGCGAGGGAGAGGAATGGAGGAGGATACCAAGGTGGTCAGCCTGGGGGACTAGGAGGATGGTGGCATCCTCAACAAGTAAAGAGAAGGTTGGAAAAGGGGAAGGTTTGGGGGGGTAGGGGAATATAACGCTTTCTGTTTGGACATGTTGAGCTTGAGATACCGAAGGGATACACAATTTGAAAATTTGGGGGGTCTTTTTTGGCTTTTTTGGTGAGGCAATTGGGGTCACACAGCTAATAGGTATCAAGTGTCTGAGGCCAAATTGGAACTCAGGTCCTCCTGACTCCAAGGCCAGAGCTCTATCCACTGCATCACCTAGCTGCCCCCACAATTTGAAATTTACAACATCTTACATATACCAGCCCTCTCCTAAAGGCCAACTCCTCTTAGCCCCCTGTAAATGGAAAAGGGCTCTCCACTCATTCTCACTCTGGATCTCTGATAAAACAAATGAAGACCATTTTCAAAGGCAGGACAAATGGCCCACAGGATGCTCAGAGGTATTGAGGGTCCCATTTGGTGCTAAGCACATAATTGGTCCCCAGTTCAAAGTGAATTGCAAACTAGCCTTCAAATCTGAGTCTCCAGTCACGTGTGTAAAGGGAGCTTAGTTAATTAATAATCATCTACTTCTACAGGTGACAGCTGGTTGTGGGACTATGCCATTAACTTCTAGGCCTTTAAAGAACCAATGAGTACACATAATGAATTCATAAACCAAATGAGATGATCCTTCCTAAAGGTTTCCTAGTATGAGATCCCTGGTCCTTCCAGAATTATCTATTCAAGGCTATTCCTGCCTTGCCTTCCCTTAAACCAAATTTTGAGAATATATATACTCCCCATCCCCACCTGTTCATTGGAGACAGGGCAGTAGCAGCAGCCTTCAAAACAAAGAGACAAAAATCTCCCCAGTAGTGTTCTGATGGCTTGATCAGAGAACCTGAAGAGGTGTTAGCTGCCATTAAAAACAAAATCTGAATTCTTAAGGTCTGTCCAACAGTTCTCCATCTACTCTGACTGAGCCTTCAGGAGGAAATTAATCTTCCCACTGCTGGAAATCCCCTAGGTTCACTGTGGAAGAGGGAAGAGAGATGAAGCAGCTGGAAGTAATTGACCCTGACAATTCCCCTATTCCTCTTTTGCCAATTTAGTAGTCAAACAACCACGATGAGTTTTGCTGAAATCTCTGCTGATTGAGCTGGGGAGGGGGTTCACCATCTCTGTTTCTAAGCTGTCTCTTCCATCTATCACCCCACTCATAGAGGATGACTCCTCTTAGCCCTGGGGAAAGGGCTCCCCACCCATTCCCACTTCTGTCCATTGGGATAAAAGAAATAGACCCCTTTCTTTTTTTTTAATTTATTTTTTTTTTTGGTGAGGCCATTGGGATTAAGTGACTTGCCCAGAGTCACACAGCTAGTGAGTGTTACTTGTCTGAGGCCAGATATGAACTCAGATCCTTCTGACTCTAGGGCCAGTGCTATATTCACTCCGTCACCTAGCTGCCCCTGAAATAGACCACTTTCAAAGGCTGTTCATAATTGTACCCAACATATTGGTTTTCTGGAAGAACTGTGGGTCAGCATTGAAAATCAAAGAAATTAGAGCTAGAAGGGACCTGAAAGTCAGAAGCTCTTCATTTGGGATCAGCCTTTGTTTTGCTTTTTAAAATATATTAAATATATTAATACATGATAAAATATAAATATATTAATTTATATATAATATTAAAATATTTTTTGATGACCGTCTTTCAGTATAACTGGTGTTCTTCATAATATTATGCATTTTATTTTATGCATTTAAAAACCTTATTCTAAGAAAGGGTCACTAGTTTTCATCAGACTGCCAAAGGGGTCCATGAAAAAAAAAATAGTTAATCTGATCTAGTCCACTCTTCTCAATTTACAGAAGAGAAAACAATTCAGATAAAATGACTTGCCCAAGTCACCCAGCAAGTTAGAGACAGGCCTAGGGTCCACATCTTGAGGCACATAGGCAGCACAGTAGATAGAATGCTGGGCCTGGAGTCAGGGAGACCCAAATTAAAATCCATCCTCAGATACCAGCTGTGTATCCCTGGGCAAGTCACTTAGCCTGTGTTTGCCTCATTTTCCCCAGCTGTAAAATGGGGATAATTATAGTACCTGCCTCCTGTGGTTCTTGTAAGGATCAAATGAGATGATTCTCATGAAGTTCTTAATGCTATATAAATGCTAATTCCTTTCCTCTTGCTCCTTCTATCACCTCACACTGCCTCTTTTCTCCAAGACCTGACAGAAAGCTTTCTAACCAGTTATCCTGGGGCTCTGAGGCAGAAGAGCCTAGATGTGAGTTGGAAATAAGGGGGGCAGTGAATTCACCAGACCAAGACTCTGACCTCCCCGGGCTACATCCAGACTGCTTAATCCCACCTGGTGCTCCTAAGAACAAGTCCCAGTCTGTCCTGGCCTTCTGCCTCCCTCTTGGTGCCTGGTTTTTGTCTCCGTGGCCGAAGTGGAAGCTAAACAGGGCGCTCTGCAGGTGGCCTCGCACCTTTTCCCTCCCACAAGGTCAGAGACGGAGAGATTACCAAGTAGCAGCAGGAATAATTTTGTGTCACACAGGGACTCGCACTGGACCTCAGCTATGGTTTTAGTTAAAAGAAAAACAGAGAGAGACAGAGACAGAGAAACAGGGAGGGAGAGGAAGAAAAAAGAAAGAATGCAAGACAGCGGAGGGAGAAAAGAGGGGGAGAAGAAAGAGACAGAGGTAGTGTGAAAAATGATTTTTCTTAGAAATCATTATCTTGGAGACTCAGAGATTCTCTCATCCCCCGGCCCCCCTTTTTTTTTTTCAAAGTTCAGTTTCTTCTTCAGGAGGACATTAAGATCTAATCTAAATGGGTCTGTTCCTGCTCATTGTGGTGTTCTGACAGGTCTGGGAAAATGTTGATTCCTCCCTGTGGTCAAGACCGCAGTATGTAAATTGATATCTCTTTGACCAAGATTAAGTGACCTCACTACCCCAAGGCCCTCATTTTAATATAGCCCACCTCCCAGTGTGTTGACCGATCAAAGTTGATTGGCACCTCTTGGGAACACCTACTCTTCGAAGGGCATATAACTTTGTATCCCTAACCCCCAAATCGAGCCAGTTTTGGACTGGCTCCCTTAGGGGGGTCCAGTTCTGGACATTAACTCCCGTGCAATGCATGTCGCCAGCTTGAGAGAAATTAAAAACATGGACACAGCCTAATTTCGTTTGTGTTTTCTTAGAACAGACTGCAGAAGCTGACAATAGAGACAGAAAGACAGGGAGAGAGAAGGAAGAAGAGACAGAGACAAACAGAGACAGACAGAGACAGCAAGAGGAAAGAGAGTGTCTTTGAGTCCTTATTAAGAGAAGGTCATTGAAGAGGTTTGAATAGTATGGGTGGGGTGGCATTTGATCGGGATACAGCCTTATTTTTTCCTTTTTCTTCTTGTTCCAAGAGAAGTGATTAGGAAAGGCTGGGCAGCCAAGTGCTGTGACTAATGTTTAAAGATCCTAAGCGGCCCTAGACCTGCTCTCCCTGAATCCATTAACCTGGAAAGATAGACCTTCACCTTCCTCAGACCTCAGACAGCTGCATTAACTTATTCATTTCTCTTTGTCCCAAATATTTTCTCTCAAGGAGGAGAACAGAGGTCCCTCCGTCCATTGGTCGGTCCATCCCCCTTCTCCTCCGGGTCTCACTCCCCCGGTTTCTGAAGGTAAGCTCTTTCTCCTTCAGAGTCCAAAGTGAAGAGGATTGAGTAATAATAGCCCCCCTGATATTCACCCCTGCAACAAGCCTGTGAGGTAGGCAAGGCAAGTGTCAAAATGAGGCCACTGATAGATTCATTAAGGACTGTTCTTATCCCACTTTTCAGATGAGAAAACTGAGGCACGGCGAGGTGATGTTTCCTGAGCCAGTGAGTGGCAGTCTTCTGCCTCCCACATGCAGTGATCTTTCCCAGACACTGCCACCTCCCACCCACCCACCTACCCAGAGAAGACTTACTAGTTACTTCTCGTAAGAATTCTCAATCTAGGCGCATGGAGGTAGGATGGACCTCCCACAAGTCTGGTCTCCTGGAAGGCAGATGAGGTGGCCCCCTTCTCTGAAGGTGCCTAGTTTACTAGGCAAAGGAAGCTCTGGACTGAAAGGCAAGAGCCTGGAGTTCTAAGCCTGGCCCTTCCAGCGACTTTTTGTGTGACCTTGGGCAAAGCGTTCCTTCCTAATGTAAAAGGCTCTGGGTCTATAGTGTGACCTAAGGGCGCAGAAAGGCTCATCTGCCCCCAAAGCACAAGGTAACTGGGGGAGAGCCTGATGGAGAACACTAGCTGCCTAAATTATCAGCAGAGACACAGTTACCCTGCAGATGATCTCGTAGCTGAGCGGCTGAGGGGCAGGGAAGGTGAGGTTTGAAGGGGAAGGGTGATGGAGAGAGGAGATGAAGGTGCGGACACTCCCTTTCCTCTCCCCCCTCCCCAGGTATCCAGGGGTGCTCTAGAGGCAGCTCCAACTGACAGAGCCAATTGTCAAACTTTCAACGTGAGCACTTACACCTTGGGAACTGGCAAATGCTGCTAGTCAGGCTTGACATATTGTTCTGTGGCTTATATAAACTTTAATAAAATGCAATAAATAATACAGATGAAGCTTAAAAGTGTGTCCTGTACATTTCTTTCTGGAGATCCTGTTGTTAAACATTTACCAGCATACCCCTGGCCGTATTCTCCAGTAGAATATAAGCCAAAAAAACCCAACCAAACAAAAAAAAGCAGGTCCTCTGACTCTCCACTAAGCCAAACGGCACCAGTTCCCAGCCTTGCCCTTCACAGTTTTCATTGACTTGCTCAAGGTCACCCGGCCATTGAATGGCAGAAACGGAATTTGAATTTAGGTTTCCTGGCTCCCAGGGCAGCTTTTGATCCGGATCACACTGCCTCTCCATTCTTCTTGGCCTTGGCAGCAGGTGAATGCACTTGAAATGAAATGAATTTGGCTTGCTACACCCTTTCCGCTGCCTCTTTCCTGCCTGGGACGCCTGCCAACACCCTGCAAAGGGGATGTAGCCAGACCCACTCCGGGAGCCTCTGGTAAGGTTTCCACACAGACAGAGGGAACTTTGAAATAAGGTGATGCCCTCTCAGCTGCTCCTGAAGATTTCATAGATAGGGTGATAAGCTCACATCCTGCTTTGGACCAGCTCCTTAGATGGACCCACAGCTCCAGACACGGAGATATCTGAGGAGCAGGGGACAGGTAACACTTGAAACCCAATCCTGGCGCTCAAAGCAGTGTGGTCTGACCCATGCCCCTCTGGCATAATCACCCATGACAGCATGCAGGCTGGAAAGATGGAGCGGGCAAAATAATCAAGGACCCTAATGGTCAGGTCTGTCACAGCCTCAGGGTCCCCCAGGCATTTAAAGAGGGAGAGACCTGGGAATGACAGGAGGGGCACGTGTGAGGCCCCCAGGTGGCCTTGGAGTCCAAAAGGCCTGAGATCCAATTCAGTTCCCGTTCCAGACATTTAATATGACCCTGGGCAAAATGGGGATAAAAATGGCATCTGTCTCCCTGGGCAGCGGTGAGGATCAAAGGAGATAAAGTATGTAAATCACTTTGCGAACCAAACAAGGTAACTGCTAACTACTGTTGTTTGTCTGGACCAGTGACATCCCAGGTGATGTCCTGACTCATGTGTGAGTTGGATGTAAGTGAGGCAGAGTGGCACAAAGCCCTCAGCCTCACTCTCTCTTCCACACTCATGGAAGACCAGGGGCAGGACAAAAGTCAGGTCGACTGGGGATGGCCTGGGATGCAGTGGGTGACCTCAGTTTCTTTGACATCTGCCCAAGCTCTCAGCGCTCCACAGCACCTGCTTCTGCTGCCTTCATGGCCTTTGGAACAAATTGTTCTCATCCGACCATTCCTCTGGCATGCCTTCCCAGGCCTGGGATAGACACCCCCCTAACTCAGTGATGGGTCTGAGGCCCTTAACCTGGTTTAGTTTGTCTGCTGAAGCAGTTTGACTGGGGTGTGGCTGCTGCACATGCTCCAGCTTCTTGGGGCCACAGGTGAGAGCTGAATGCCAGGTGGACTCCAAAGGTGGGTGAGCAGTCCTGAAAAGGGCTCAGCAAGCCTTCACACCCTCAATACCCCACTGCTATTATTATTATATTATATTATTATTATTATTATTATTATTATTATTATTATTATTATTATATAGTGAAAGGAACAATGCACTTGGAAGCCAGATGACCTGGGTCTGAGGTCAAGTTCTCCTGCTGGCTAGTTCTGTGACCATGGGCAAGTCACCTCAACTCTGAGTCTCAGTTTCCCTATCTGAAAAATGGGGATTTTATCACTATATCACACAGGGTTGTTAGGGAAAGCACTATAGTATACACATTTAAGCATTGTCCCTTTAGGCTAATGCCCTAACATGCTGTGTCTCGAGCTTGCTTCTAGCGCTAATGTCCTAGGTTCTGAGGTCTCTTACAGATCTGATATTCCACGCCTTTCGATTTCTTGCAGCTATTATGTCCTAGGTTCTAAGGCCCCATCGAACTCTAACATTCTAAGGTCCCTTCCAGCTCTAGCATTCTAGGTCTAAAGATCTTTTTAGTTCTAACATTCTGGGTTCTAAGGCCCTTTCCATCTCTGATGTTCTAGGATTTCAGGATTCTCTAAGAAGGCTCTGGGCCTCATTATATCCCCCCACCCCACCCCCTCCAAGCTTCAGGCCATGATGCCCAGCAGATAGATACTCACGTTTACAGACTTCTGGCGAAGACGTAGGCTTGCTCCAGTCCCGATAAAACCCTGACTTGCATTTCTGGCAGTGACGGCCCTCAGTGTGGTGCTGGCAGTTGTCACAGATGCCACCTGTGCGCTTCCCGGAGTTCAGCCAGACACCCCCATCAAAGTGGCACCTATCAGCATGGTTGTGACAGCGGCACTCTGTGTGGAAGGCAGCCCCCATTCACCCATATGCACAGACCATGGGAGCCTGGCCACAGCCTCTAGGTCTCCCTCCCCAGTTTTGTGCCCATGGGGCCTTGGGTAAGTCATGTTGCATGGTCTACCTCCTACCTCTCCCCCCAAGCATCTGTATCTAGGTAAAATCAGATTAAAAGAAATATCCAGCCATTCCTTGAAGGGGGAAAGAAGTCATACAATGAGAATAGACCAGTTGAAAGGGGCCAGACAGCCACCTGCAGCCCTTCCTACTCTTTTACATACTGACTCTCTGCACGTGGGCCCCAGGTCCTTCCTTCCTTCATCCTCATCCTCATCCTCATCTACTCCCTCCTTGTGTCACTAAGTAGCTCTAGGCACTTATTCAGTCAAGCATTTCCAAGCCCCTTAAAGTGGAAGACCTCAAAGTGAGGATGCCATCTTGTTCTACCCTAGCAATAGATAGCTTTGACAGCCAGAAAGGGATCTCTGTACCCTGAACATCCTTGGATTCATCTCCTTATAGATTTTGGCATGAATGATAACAATAACTAACATTGAGTTAGTGGTTTAAGATTTGCAAAGCACTTTACACATCTCACGTGATTTGAACTCAGAGCCAGCACTGAATTTGATTCAATAAGTCTTTACTGGGAGCCTAGATGTGTCATGTATCTTGTGTTAGTCTATGCTGCGAAAAGACACTACCCTTCCCTCCTCTGAATAGACAATTGAGAGAAATTATTCTTTCTGTCTTATATTAATAACTAATTATTGAATTGGGACCAAGGCTTCCCCCCTTTTCTACTTCCTCATTCAGAAATCGGCCCCTGTAGGTTATTCAGGAAGACTTTGAAGTGCAGGGCTAGTACTGAGAGGGAAAACGCAGATCTGTTCAAGAGGTAAAGAAATTTTAGTTTAGGTGAATTGATGGATTCTGGTCCCTGGGAAAACTGGATTCTCCCTTTTGTCATGTGACTGATATGAATATAGATAAGTCTCTTTGATCAAGACTGAGTGATCAGAGTGGGGTACCCTAGATCCTCATTAGAATAGGTCCACCTCTTATTATAATATTCATTGTCTCTTTAATTGTTAATTTCCACTCTTCCAAGGGCATATAAGCATTGGGTAGCTTCCATGAGGGGTCTTTAGCATTTGAGACTGTCATTGACCCCTTTTATTAATTATATGCTAGCATGATTAATAAAATGATTACCCCAAAACTATGTCTCTCGAGCTTTTTATACATCATAATATGTGTGAAGAGGGAACAGAAAATTAGGTGAAAGGTAACTTTGCAGTGGATTTAGTCAAGGAGAATTTTGAGAATGAGATGAGTTAAGCTTTGGAGGAAGTACACCTAGGAGACATTCCTCCTTAGGAGAACTCATTCCTTTGGGTCTGGTAGGTTTTTCAGTCTCCCATCCCTACAGTATTGCAGATATGTCTGTGAGGGTGATTCCTTTAGGGTATCATCACTTAGGCTTCTGTGAGGATTAGCTGACAGCCAGCTGAGAGCAACGAAGGCCCTTTAAGATTGAAATACAAGATGGTATGGGAAATGCTTTATTATATTATTTGGAAAATGTATTAATAATTAAACTATTTAAATCTAACTTAATGTGACTAGAGATTGTTCGAACCCAGAATATCACACTGACCTCAGTAACTTTCTAAGGAATTTTGGGTTCCTTCAGGTCCTGGATTTCCCAAACGACATATTTTGGAACCCCTCACTCAGGTCTTGTTTTAGATCTACTCAAGCTTGTATTTCGGGCTCCCCTTATGTTGTGACTTCATCTAAATTTTATTGAATGTGTATGTTTACTGATATCTACCTCAATTGACCTTGCTTTTAAGCTGCCCTCTCTGCAAAATTGTTTAACTAAGTATATGTGATTTGTGTGTGGGTACCCAAGTCTAAATCCTATATGATATAAACCCTCCCAGAGCCTGAATGAGAAAGAGCTACACCCTTCCTGGTTCATTCTCCCTACCAAGTGATGTAATAAATTTATTTTCAAAACTATTTCAGATTTTGGGGTTCATTCTTATGACTAACAATGGTAATTTGAAGCAAAGGAGGTGAGCCTAAAATTCGATTATACACTTCATCACATACTGCGGCGTGAGACTGTCTGAGACCGAGGACTGTTTCAGGTCTCCACCCCAGCCACTTACTTTTGCATTCATTGGGCTGGCTGGTTTTCCCATCTCCTGGCCTCCATGGCTGGTCATTGTACAGTGGCAAACACTTCTCACAGTGTACACCTGCTGTGTGATGTCTGCACACACACGTCCCGTGGACCTATCACCAAGAAAATGAGACTGTCATTCAAGGGGAAAAGCCAAGGTCTGCGTTGAGCTCTCAGAGAATGATTGTAGTTTTTGGATTCCCACTTGGCATGCCAGCATCCAGCAGACTGTCCCAACAAGGGAAGACCTTCCCTCCACCAAAGGTTGGGAGGTGAAACAACCTGCCCACAGACTTCTATGCCTCTGGTTCTCTGTGTGACTTTGAACAAATCACTTCCTTTCTCAGTTTCCTCATCCAGAAAATGAAGGATGTTGCAATTACTCCAGAATTTTAGCATTAGAAGAGACTTCATAGGCTGTTCCATAACCCATATATGACTAAGAATCCTTTCCACAACATCCACAATAACTCGTCTTCTAGTCTTAGCTCCAAGAGTAGCAATAGTGGGGAAACCCAATGGGCTAACCTCCAAAGGTAACCCCTTCCACTTTCAGACTGTTCTAATGGTCAGGAAGTTTTTCCTTATATCAAATCTACATCAGCCTCTCTTCAACTTTACCCCCTTTGCTCCTAGTCACACCCTTTGGGAACAAATAAAATAAATCTAATTCTTCTTCCTTATGATCAGCCTTTAAATATTTGCAGACAATTATCATGTTCCTCTTAAGTCTTCCTCTCAGGCTAACCATACCAAGTTCCTTCAGCTAATTCTTTTTTTTTCCTTTTTTTCTTCTCTCTTTTTTTTTTTTGGCAATTGGGGTTAAGTGACTTGCCCAGGGTCACACAGCTAGTAAGTGTCAAGTGTTTTGTCTGAGGTCAGATTTGAACTCAGGTCCTCCTGACTTCAGGGCCAGTGCTCTATCCACTGAGCCACCTAGCTGCCCCCCTTCAGCTAATTCTTACATGTCACTCTCTGTTCTTTTCACCATCTTGAATGCCTTTTTTTGGCCATGACTGTCTGTTGTTTATGAAATATGGTGCCCGGAACTGAACATAGCACTCTTCCCAGAATACAGAAGAAAGGGACTATTACCTCCTTTGTTCTGGACTCTATCCTGTGATTAATGCAGACTAGAGAAGAAAAAAAAAGCACTAACTTCTTTGGCTGCCACATCCCTCTGTTGACATGTATTATTCTGAGCTGAGTCATTCTAGAGCAAGTCACTTAATCCTCTCAATGCTCTAAACAATATTCTAAAACTATGAATTACAGTAGGAGTGGCAACCTGCACCAGGAAAGAGAATTTCCTCACCAAGAGTTCCCTGTGGAGAACTCTATATTCCCCACTATCATTTTATACAATTTGTCCTACTGTTCTAGCCTGGTGGGATATTCTTAGATACTGAATCTGACATGTTCCTAGTTGGCTTCCCCTCCCCCCCAAGGTTGAGAAGCATGTCATCCATGCCTTCAATCAATCACGGAGAAAAGCATTGACTCGGCTGATCTCCAAAGTCACTTCAAGTTGACATTCAAAGGTCCAAATGTAAAGCACTATGCAAGTGTATACTGTTGCTATTGTAAATTTAGCAGATAGTTTCAATTCATTTATTTTCAAGATTTCTTTCTTTCTTCCTTCCTTTCTTTCTGATTGGGGTTAAGTGACTTGCCTGGAGTCACATAGCTGGTAAGTATCTGAGGCTGGATTTGAACCCAGGTCCTCCTGACTCCAGGGCTGGTGCTATATCCATTGCACCACCTAGCTGCTTGTATTTTCTGTCTTTCCTTCTTCTTTCTTTCTTTCTCCCTTTCTTTCTTTCTTTCTTTCTTTCTTTCTTTCTTTCTTTCTTTCTTTCTTTCTTTCTTTCTTTCTTTCTTTCTTTCTTTCTTTCTTTCTTTGCTTTTTGGTGAGGCAATCGGGGTTAAGTGACTTACCTAGGATCACACAGCTAGTAAGTGTCAAGTGTCTGAGGTCAGATTTGAACTCAGGTCCTCCTAACTCCAAGGCCAGAGCTCTATCCACTGCACCACCTAGCTGCCCCTATTTTCAAGATATTTATTAATGACATATTTATATTTGCAAGTCATGCATCTAGGCACTAGGGATACAAGTTTAAAAATGACCCAATTCCTGTCATTAAGAAGCTTCCAGTTTAAGATGTATATACAAGTAACACAAGGTGAAATGGAATGCCTTTTTTATATCAGATGTAAGTCGACTTCTTTTCACTGTCCACCCTTTCTTTGCTCCTGGTCATGTCCCTCTAACGTATGCTAGATGACACAGTGAATAGAGGACTGGGCCTGGTGTCAAGAAGATCTGAGTTCAAATCTGGCCTCAGGAACAAGTATGACCATGGACGAGGAACTTAACCTTTACCTGCCTCAATTTCCTTCATCTGTAAAATGGGGATCATAATAGCACCTACCTTCCCAGGTTGTTGTGAGGATCAATAAGACAATATTTGTAAAAGGTGCCTGGAACACAGTAGGTGCTTAATAAATACTCGTTTCTTTTTCTTCCCCCTTCCTTCCCTCTGGGACTAGAACTAACTAAAAAACTAAAAATAACCCTTCTAATGCCTGAATCTAATCCTTATTTCATATAAGCAAAGGAGAGATCCAGACAAGGTGCAGGAAGGAAAGACTTCATGATGGAGATGGAGTGAAGGCTCAGATGCAGAGGAAGAGAAAGGATTTCAGCAGGCAGAGAGGAGAAAGGAGATTGTTTCCAGGCATATGGAAATTTATTAAAATATATATATTACATATATATATATATATATATTACATATATATATATATATATAAAATATATGTGTGTTTATACACACACATACACTCATATATATATATATATATATACATACATACATATTTATTTATTTATAAAAGAAAGGCAGTATGGTAAAGTGAATAGAGGGCCAGCTTTAGGGCCAGAAGACCTGAGTTCAAATCCTGCCTCTGATACAGCCTAGCTGGGTGATCCTGAGCAAGTCACTTAATCCTCTTTAGCGCTCTAGGCAACTCTCCAAGACCATACTGAGAGTGGAGGTGGCAACCTGCCTTGGTGGAGGGAGCTTCCTCATCCAGGAGTTCCCCATAACATTGAAATCACAGGCCTGGACCCCATGCCTATCTATTAAAAGCTAAGCCTGCAGAGGGCAGTATTTAATGTAGAATGAACTTCTAAACACTGGTAGGGGAACTATCATTGATGGTAGAAAGCAATCCTCTGAATATCCAAGTCATGTCATTAAAGTATGGAGAATGTTAGAGCTGTAGGAGGCATCAGAGGAAGGCTGGTCTAACCACCTCCCAGATTAACAAACAGAGGGGACAAAGCATTTACCCAAAGCCACCCAAGTAGCAAGCAGTTGAGGTGGGGTTAGAAACTTCTTACTTGAAATCTGACATTCTAGGTTCTGTGTCCCTTTCCAGCTCTGACATTCCAGGTTCTAAGGCCCGGTCCTTTACTAAGGTATGGAGAAAATATACAGACTTACAGAAATGTTTCATTTGGGGGTAACCACACATGCAGAGCTATAACTAAGGCCCCTTCCATCTCTGATCTTCTAGCATCTAAGACCCCTTCTAGCTTTGACTTTCTAGGTTCTAAGGTCCCTTCCAGCTCTAACCTTCTAGGTTCTAAGGCCCCTTCCAATTTTGATCTTCTAGGTCCTAAGGTCACTTTTAGCTCTGACTTTCTAGGTCCCAAGGTCTCTTCCAGCCCTGAAATTCTAGGTTCCAAATTCCCTTTCAGCTCTGACATTCTAGGTTCTAAGGTCACTTCCAGCTCTGACAATCTGTGTTCCAAGGACCCTTCTGGCTCTGAAATTTCAGGTTTCAAGATCTCTTTCAGTTCTGATATTCTAAGTTCCAAGATCTGTTCCAGCTGTGAAATTCTAGGTTCCAAGATCTCTTTCAGTTCTGACCTCCTATGTTCTAAGGCCCCTTCCAGTTCTGACCTTCTAGGTACTAAGGCCCCTTCCAATTCTGATCATCTAGGTCCTAAGGTCACTTTTAGCTCTTTCTAGGTTTCAAGATCTCTTTCAGTTCTGATATTCTAGGTTCCAAATTCCCTTCCAGCTCTGACATTCTAGGTTCTAAGGTCACTTCCGGCTCTGACAATCTGTGTTCCAAGGACCCTTCCAGCTCTGAAATTCTAGGTTCTATGTCTCCTTCAAGCTTAACATTCTATGTTCTAATATAAATATAATAATCCAGTATTTTGTGAACGTCAACTATGTGTCCCACTGTCCCAGGACAATTGCACCCCCCAACAAGACTGTCTTCTGGGCCATCACCCCTAGCATTATCATCTGTGCCTCCACCATTGCCACCCAGCCTCCCTTAATCAATTTTCCCCCAGATAAAAGAATTCCTCATTTATAGCTCTATACATACCCATGTGGGAAACTAGTAATATGAAGCACTGTATGTCAAGTGTCAAACAAGAGTCTGGACACTCAGTGCTTTCAGAGGTTGGAAGACACAGAAGTCATCATAGAGTTGACTGGCCAGAGAAGACTTCAAATAGAAGGCGGAGCCTTGAACTGAGTTTTTAAAAGATGGGTAGTAATACAACTGAGGAAAGGAGATGACATTCCAGGTGAGGGAATAGTAAGGAAAGCCTTGGAGGTCCAACTAAGCATGGTGCATATAAGAGAAAGGAGATGGAGCAACATGGCCAGAATTGAGTTTACCCGAAGGCAAGCAATGCAAGAGAAAGTGGGAAAGGTAAGATGAGGCCAGATTAAGGAAGACCTTGGAGGCCAGGCTTAGGAGTCTTGACTTTATCCTTAGGCAAAGAGGGTTTTTATGATCCAACATACCCTGCTAGAGCAGCAGACATAAATGGGAGAGACATGGGGGGAACACTCTCCCACAAATTCCTTGGGGTTTGGTATCAATCCCCTGCCTCAGAACACAGCACCTCATATGAGACTTCTAGTTGTCCAGACTGACAACTGACTTCCAAGGTTGTGGTGGGAAGGGGCTGAGGAGGATGGCCAGGGAACCATCCGTCTACATGTGGGGAGATGGAAAGGAGGCAGGGAGGGGGAGGGAGAGGGAAAAGGAGAGGAAGAGATTTATTGTCCTGTATAGA